TACATATAAATTAACCCATTTCTGTTCATCTATATTTTACCAAGAGGCTCGTAGCTTGTTACTTCGCATCTTGCTCTTCCCGTAGCTACTGCTGGCGTCTCCCCAACTCTGCCTTCTTTCTCCCTTTTTCTCTGCTTGGATTTTCCTCCTAGCTAATTCTGCCCTGCCATAGGCCAAAACAGCTTCTTTATTAACCAATGGTAACAAACCATATTCACAACATATGGAGGGGTATCCCACATCAAGCTGGTGATCACTATGAGAGTCCATGAGAGCTGACCAGGGCATTGGTCTACAGGTGGGGTTTCTTCCCTCTGAGCCCGGTTGTGGGGTGAACATAGGACTTTTTCAGCATATGCACGGGTTGGCAAGGGGAAAAAGTCTGGACAGGAAATCAAAATCAAGAGACCTGAATTTGTGTGCTCTTCACCTTCGGTAGCCTCTCTTTATCTCTCTGAAGGGAGAGAGATTAGATCTAGTGTTTGCATTCTACAAACTTTATAAGCCTAAGGATTCCATATGAATTAGAATTTGGTATTTCCATTTGGGTGAAAGAGAAGAACATTGTATTATCTATTAGGATTCTAGGGAATCATAGGAAGAAAGGTGAGAAAGGTCCTTGATGCTCTTGAGGGTAGTGACTGAAGGAGGAAAAGAAATACTCATTTCAAGACTTGTGAGTGAAGGTTCATGTGGGTGTGGTGGACCCGGCAGTTGTCAGTAGGAGGAAGCAAGGGAGCGGGGCCAGGACTAGGATGAGGCTACTTCAGATCACCAGATAGAAGTTTAGGCCTCTGGGCTTTCATCTAGAGGGGTTGTACCCGATCTCAGATAGGGTACGTGATTTAAGGAGCTATCACCCTTAGGGCGTTCAAATGCTTGCATATTGCTTGATAGTGTCTCCTTCTCTTTTATATTCTAGGCTCATTCTTGCTTTGACCTAGAGTTAAGCATCTGCCAGGGTGGTAAACAGTCAGGGAGAACCAGCATGGCTCTGAATGCTACACAGAGAAGAGATGAGAGAGACGAGGCCCAATTGGTGTGGATCTACTCTGTAAGAGAGCAGAGCTGGTCTCAGCAGCTCCGATGTCCTGTTGTCACCAGCAATGCACAGCCACACCAACTCCAGCTGGAATATAACTCAAGGGGACTCAGGCTGCTGGGCTGCCTTCCTCCAGACATGGGACTCTTGAAGAGGGACAAGAGCCAGTGAGAAACCCTAACTGATATGCCAACTGGGTGGCAGAGAAGTCACTCTTTGTCTTGTTTTTATTTGCAACTTTCTAATCCTAGGGGAAATGGTCATTGGAGAGTAAATGTGGGTTTAATGACCCTCTCTTGCAAGGGAATTTCTACTCCCTCTCCCCCCCCATTTTAAAAAGAAATACTTGTTGAATACACACCATGGTAGTTATTAATGATTCTTGGAAGATTGTAGGATTGCATTTTTGGGGGGTTCTCTTCATGGTTGATGGAGCCATGAATGGCTGGAGAAATGAATGGTTTACAGCTAAAGTGAGTCCTGACAACCCAAAACCCTCTAAAACTTACTCTCTCCTCATTGTGACAAGGGATGTCCCAGATGGAGGCTGTTCTTTTGGCTTTAATTTGCGTGCATTTGTGTGTGTTCACATATTGTGCACATATGCATGCTCCTATGCACATGTGGAGGCTGGGGGTTGACACTGGATGTCTTCCTCTCTCTCTCTCTCCTCACTTTATTTTTTGACTCAGGGTCTCTCCCTGAGCCTGAAGCTCACTGCTTCAGCTAGGCTAGCTGAGCTGCAACCTCTTGGGATCCCACCTTTTGAGTGCTGGAATTACAGTCGGGAGCTGCATGGGTGCTGGGAATCCAAACTTGGGTGTTCATGCTTGTATAGCAAGCAGTTCATTTACTGAGCCCGCTCCCCAGCCCAGCTTGAAGTCTTAATTGAGGATATGTGGAGAGAATGCTGTAGTTTGGCTCCCTGTGGACTCAAAGCATTAATAAGAAATAACCCTTTATTGTAAAAGCCAATAAGGATTCTTGGTTGCTTCCTATTGCAACATAGCCTGCTGTGAAGCACAAGCCCCTGTGTTCCAGCCTGTTTCAGATGCTGCAGACACTGTGTCTCACTCCAGCATCCTCTGGGGCACCATTAGGTCATGGAACAGCTGATGAAGAAATAGGACTCTCTTGTTTATTTATTTGATTCTTCTGGTTCTGGGGACCAAACCTAAGGTCTGATGTCTCATGCATGCTAAATAAGCCCTCTTAGCATGTATAGCACCACTAAGCTATAGTTCTTTTCCCACAATCCCCCAAAGTCTCCCCCCCCTCTGTAGCCCTGGCTGTCCTGGAACTCACTCTATAGACCAGGTTGGCCTTGAACTCATCAATCCTCCTGCCTCTGCTACTGTGGAGCTGGAGTGAGGGGGATGGGATTCCAGCCAGTAAAAACGCACAATGCTCACCATGTGTCGCATCTTTTGAATAACACTTTCCAGATTGCTATAAGTCCCTGAGTAATTTCTAAGACTTTGGAAGACTTGATTCTAACTTTTTCCTCCTAGTTGTCTTATGCGTTTATGGATGAGAGAACTTTTTCTTTTGGTCTCATAGACATCACCTGGAACTATCTGAAATGCCCTGTTCGGTAGTTACCATCTTTTCTTCCCCTCAAAATTCAGTCCAAATGTCTCTTCCTTTGAGAAGATCTCTCTGGGTCCTCTGGGTAAAAGAATCAACTATTCCTCCACTCTCCTATGCTTCTACGTCCAGGCCATTGTAATTTCACTTTTCACAATTAATAGTTATTTTTATCGGTTCCTGTCCTAGTCTATGGACTTCAAGCCTGTGACTTATTTGAACCTCCACCCCCTCTCCCATACCCAGGCTCATTCATGACACACAGAAAGTGGTCAAGTTTGTGGGCTGAAGAGTACTGCTGTAGGAATCTCCAGTGACTCTAGGGAGTCTTGTCTCTAGCTACCAGTTCCCTCCTCTGTGTCTATAAATCATGGAGGAGCTCTGTCTCTTCGTCTTTGCATGTGGATTCTCCGAATGCACGAGGAAATGAAGAGAAAAATGGCAACACAGCTGGCATGGGAGAAGCCCAGCAGTCGTAACGGTGGGGTAGGCAAGACTCAGGGAGCTGGGGGGTAGGCAAGACTCAGGGAGCTGGGGGAGCCCCAGACAGGCATCTCACAGTTTTCAGTGATGGGATTTCAGGAAGTGATACTCAAACTACTTGTCTCTGCTTTACCACCCAGGCCAGATGTGGTGGCACATGACTTTGATCTCAGCACTCGTGAGTTCAAGACTAGCTTGGTCTACACAAAGAGCAGCCAGTCATCCAGAACTATGTCCCTTAAAAAGCCAAGAAAAAGGGAAACCAGGCGAGCAGCTGGGGCCCTAAGCTGCCCACCAAGCTAGATGGTGAACTGATGGCAGTAAATACAATTAGTGGGGCCTTTCCAACCCCAAGTTAGCAAAGTCTAAAAGGAAAGCACAGGTAAGAGCACAGCGAGGGGCTGGAGAGACGGCTCAGCAGTTAAGGGTGTTTGCTGCTCCTGCAGAGGACTCCAGTTCCGTTCCGAGCACCCACGCTGTGAGGGTCACATCCACCTGTAACTCCAGCTCCAGAGGATCTGCTGCCCCCTTCTGGCCTCCGATGGCACCTGCCTACAGGAAGCATTCACTTACACAGACATATATGAGTGTGTAAATCTTAAAAAGAAAGATAAACAGCTAGTTGTCTCCTATCTCAAATATTCATCCCAAGCTTGCAGACGCATAAACAGCCATTAACTTGCTGTAAAGTTTAAAGCGAGGGTAATAAAATACAGCTAATTTGCTTCCTTGGCTGGCTCAAGGCCATGGAACACAGGCCCAAAGCACCCTGAGCAGAATGAAGTCTTCACGACTGTTTCAACAAAAGCCTCCACTAGCAAAGGTTCAGGACTAGCAGTTCTTTGTTCTGTTCCTGGTTTGCCAGATTCAGCTTTTGCTGTATGGTGTACTGTCTTTTCCCTGAACTCTGGCTTAACTTCCTGAGCTTTGCTTGTGGTCTTCATTTGGTTGGTTGAGGAAGGTACTCTAGGGTCAGTGTCCTTAACCTTAGGTCATCTCTCCCAAGAACTCTTCCCTATGGCTTTCTGGCAACCATAATGTCATCAGTCTAAGCTAGATGCTAGGAAGAGCTTTATATTCATTATCTCAACCCTGCAAGGTGAGTACTGACTCTTCTTTCAGAGAGTCTGACTGGGGCAAGTGGGAAATCTGTATTCAGGAAAAGTTTGACTCTTAAAGCCTGAACTATAGAACTGCTGCATCCGAGGGACACTTGAGAAGCATACTGGAAGAGAGGAAACCACGCCAGCCCTTTCTTGCCTGGCACTCCTCTGCTTCTCCAAAGATTCGTGGCCCCCAGGTGTGTCCAGGCCCAGCCTAGGATCAGCTACTTTGAAACAAGATAGCACCAAGGGACCACTCCTGGTTCCCAGGGGTGAACCGGGGTGGGGGGAGGTCTCACTTCTTAGCAATCAGGAGAGAGATGCAGCCATGGCTGAGAGAGGGGTGACAGAGATTCCTAATCATCACCTGTCAGCTCCAACATGGTGAAAACCTGAGACTGCTGGAAAGGCCAGCTTCTACCAGAACTCAGAAGCATTTCCACAGATGCTAATACCACTCTCTCTAGAGCAACCTTCTCAGCAAGAAGGGGGAATTGTGCTAGCATGTATGAGACACATATTTTGGGCACAAGGGACATGATTGCTAAGCAACAATAGTCCTGCCCCCCCCAATCCATTTTTTTCTGTTTCCAAGCTTCCAGTTAGCAGATAGAAGGGGCTGGGGCTGCCAGGCCCAGCCCAGCCCTTGCTCTGATTCTGTACAACAAGGGATCTATTCATGAGACCTGAGCATAGTTCATTGTCTCCCTGGTGCATGTCTATGTGTGTAGGGGTGGGAGACAAGGGGAGGGGCTGTATGTGAACCAGAGAGACTGCATCCTCCAACCACGCTGGCTGGGTTGTTGAATCAATCCTGACATGAGGACAGGAGCCGCGCCTTGCCCAGCTGACCTTACAGCCTTCCATCAACGCAACTGAGTCACAGGGTAAGGCTGTGCCCCATGCTATCCCTACATCCCTGCTCACACTCCCCTTCCCCAGGATTAGACCGGTAGAAGAGCCTCCTCTGGCAGCTTTGGTGCAGGGATTGCATCCTAGCAGGGGCTGAGGAGCTAGAGTTTTCTCCAGAGACCGCCTTGCGTTTTCTTCTCTTCCAGTCCCTACTCTGGGCTGGTGACACTGTTTATTCTTGGCTATGCTGAACAAAGCATTAAATTGTCTCCTACTTAGAATACCAAAAGGGTCTTCCCATTGAAGCCCTATGTTTTCAGGCTAACGCATGGGTTTGGGCAGGTGCATTTTGAGGCAGGTCAGTGCCTGAGTAAGGTGATTTGTTCAGAGGCTGGCCTTGGAGCCTAGCTTCTGAGATACTGAGACAACAGGTCTGCCTCAGAGTCCTTTCTATAATTGGCCCTGGCTCTCTGACTGGACAGGGCATCCACTCAAGAGGAACTACATCCCTAGAGAAAAAACACACATGCCCGTGGCCACTTCCCTACTTTTGTTTTGGTTTTCCCAAGCCTGCTGTCCTTGGCTCTCATCTCTGGGCACAGATGGAGTATGTGTGTTAGCACACACATTGTGAGCTATGTTTCTCCAGGATAAGTATGGCCTACCTTAACTGTGACTGTGTGTGGGGAGATGGGCAGACTCTCACTCTGCAGGAAGGGTTTGGATTCTGCCCTGTGTGCTACCTGAACTGTCATGGGGCTTACTCGTAGGCTGGGGAAACCTCTTTTGTTCAATTTGGAGGGTCTGCTTTGGGTGAGGCTGACAGGCTTTCCTTTTATAGGTGGAAGGTGAGGAAAGCAAGTTTAGCCGGCCACAAAGGCAGGATCTGGGAGATGTTCCATTAAACACAGGAAAATCACACCTAAGATAATGCAGTTTTGGAGTCAGTGGTTCAGGCTTCTGCTATCACTTGGGACAATCCAATGTGTCAAGAGGGAAAGGTGATATGCAAGTAGGAATTACTACAGTTTGGGGTGTGTGTGTATGTGTGTGTGTGTATGTGTGTGAGTGTGTCTGTGTTCATGTGTGCATTCATGAGTACACATGTGTAGGCCATAGGACAACTCCAATTGTCATTCCTCAGGTGCTACCCATCTTGATTCTTTTTTTTTCTTTTTCATATATCTATCTATCATCTGTCTGTCTGTCTGTCTGTCTATCTATCTATCTATCATCTATCTATTTTTTTTTCTGAGTCAAGGTCTTTTGCTGGCTTGGAATTTATTGATTGACTAGGCTAGCTGGTCATCAAGCCCCAGAGACCTACCTCTCTTTGGGGTTAAAATCTTATGTTACCAGGCCCTGGGGTTACATGGGTTCTGGGGATAGAATGTAAACTCTCCTGAGTGCACGGAAGCCCTTTGCTGACTGAGCTGTCTTGCTATCTTCCCAGACTTCTTTGTCTTTTTTTTTAAGCCTTGTGATCCTCCTGTTTCACTTCCTGAGTGTTGAGATTACAAGCACGCACCACCACGCTCAGCTAGCCAATTTCAAGATGTTGGATTGGATTGCAAATTCCTCAAGGAAGAATTTACAGCTTACATGTATTTCTTACTGATATTATTATAACTAACAAGTAGCTTGTGTTTTATAATTTATAAAGCCCATTGAGCCACATTATTTTCCTCTCTCCCTCCCTCCTTTCTCTTTCCCTCGTTCTTCCTTCCTTTCTTCTTTATCCTTTTGTTCTTTTTTGTTTTCTTGAGATAGGTTTTCTCTGTGCAGCCTTGGCTGTCCTGTAATAGGGAACCAATCATTGTCAGCCAATGATCTTTAAGAGGTTGGACCAGGTTAGGGTGTGACCTTTTGGGTACCCAGAGAAAACTGTCAGTCTGCCCAGGGCTTTCTCTCTCTCTGTGGTTCCTGTACTACACAGCTGAGGTTGGACTTTTTGTTCCTGTTTCGTGAGTTTGCCCCTTATAATAAAGAAAATATAATTGGGATATTTTGGAGTTAGCCTGGGATTCTTTGACCTGTGTCCACACCCATCAACAGTATTGGAACTTGCTCTATAGGCCAGGCTGGCCTTGAACTCAGAGATCCACCTGTTTCTGCCTTCCGAATTCTGGGATTAATGCCACCACCACCCAGCTTCTTCCTTCCTTATGTCTGTACACTTTACCAGTATTGCTATTTTGTGCCAGTCCCTGGGATACATAGACCGGTACAGAAGTGAGAAAGAAGTGAGGTCCATATAGGTCAATGGTATGTTCTCTATAGTTAAGGGTGCTCGCCGGAGAAATGACCAATACACTGAATAAGGTTAGTAGGAGACAGCTATGCGGGTGGGAGCAGCAGACACAAAGCCTCTGCAGGGGGAAAGTGTCCGAAGGTGCTGAGGAAGACACAGGGTGTTGGAGTGAGCTGTTGCTGGCAGTGAGGATGGAGAGATGAGGAAGGGTAAAATCACAGAAGCCCAGGAGCTATGGAATGAAAGCTTTATCTTGATGTGGAGGATACAAAGATCACTGGGCGCTTTAAAGACTGGACCACCATGCTGACATAGCTGCTCTGGCTTGGTAACACGGAGAATAATGGCCAGGCCAGTGTCCTAACCCCTTTCTGTGGGTTGGGCTGTTCCCCCACCCTTTATCCGTTGCAGCTAGAGGACACTAGGGGAGAGAATTTGCTCATTAGGAAGTAGGAATTATCACTCTTATTTTATGAATGATAAAACTGAAGTTTGGAGGGATGGTCTGAGTTATCCAAACCCACAGGGTAGGTTGTAGACTTCATTGTGGACTGTTTCGGTGCTTGTCAATGTTCTTATTTCACCTCGCTTCATGGGTCAAGAGCTTCGGGCACACATGTGAGCTGCTCTGCTCTTGGCTTTCTCACCACCCTGTCTTTGCTTCACCACCATCCTTTGCCTGGACGACGCAATGCTTGATAGAAACGCAATCAGCGCCGACCCTACTCGCCCAAGAGGACACTGCTTTAGAAACCTTCCTCCTCTAGGCACCTTCCTTGATCTCCTTGGTGAGAAATCACCTCTTAATTTTTTCAATGTTCAACAACATTGCTTTAATCAAATTCTTGGTCATTTGACATGTGCTATGTATGACTTGTCTTTGGGATAAGGCTGAGAATTCTTTGAGGAATTCCAGTCCATGCTGGTTTATCCTGAATTCCCTGTAGCATTTCCTATGCTGTCTTATGCACTTGGGCCAAATACTTTTGGGGGAATGAATGGTGTGTGTGTGTGTGTGTGTGTGTGTGTGTGTGTGTGTGTGTGTGTGTGTGTGAGAGAGAGAGAGAGAGAGAGAGAGAGAGTACTCTTTTCCCGAGGTAGAAAGGAAGGACTGCCTAGGGTGGGATGTTGACAGACCTGAGGGGGTGCCCTTTTGATCCCCATTGGAGGTAGAACTAGGGCACCGATGATGAAGAACATGGCTTTAGAGTGGAGCAAGTCTGGATTCCAGTTCTCCCTTTGCTATTGCAGTCATGTAAGAGTGAAGCCGAAAGGGTTAGGGACCAATGGAGAGCAGAAAAGGCCTGGGTGAGAATCTTCCAAGGTGAATAGAGACTTCCAGTTAGCCTCGGGGAGGACTAAGATTAGAAGCCAGAACCTGGTGAGATCTGGGTCTTCTTTTGGCAGCCCTGGATTTCCAAGAACTGTTTCTTCAGACTCCAACACTGGATGACCAAGGCCCAATGGAGGTTCGGTGCGCAGAAGAGGGTCCTGGACCTGGGATCTTCAGAACAGAGTTGGGAGACCGGCGGCAACCCAGTAGGTCACACGGGGCCATTAGGGAGGGACAGGATGGGGTCAGCAAAGTATGCTCTTCCTTCATCCCTTACACTCTTCTAGGGTCAGTGCGAGGATGACAGACATGTCCTTCTTTATCCCCTACTTGCTTGACTTCCCACTTCAGGACCAAGTGGGAGCTGGGCTTCAGGGCCCAGATCTCTTACCACTTGGAGCCCACGGGGCAGGGGCGAGCTCCTGTTAGAACTTACTAGTGCCTCACGGTGGAGGAAAGCTTGCAGGCAGAAGCAGGAGACCCAGGCAACTCTCTGCTTTCTTCATAGTCTCCCAGTCCCAGCGCTGGTGCTGCCTGCAGCGTGGCTGTGCGGTCCTGGGAGCCCTGGGGCTGCTGGCTGGAGCAGGTGTCGGCTCATGGCTCCTAGGTCAGTGCTGGGCCCTTTTGTCTGGAGAGGGGTGGAGGACAGGGTCTGGGGGCAGCATGGAGACATAAGCAGATGCTGAACAGGCACTATGTGAAGATGAACGAGCTCCACTCTCATCTGTGCTGTTTAGACAGCAAGACAGAGAAGTGGTTACCCAATGGAACAGGATGGATGCAGGTGTCAAAGGGACAGTTTGGTCCTACAATCTTGCTACTTGTGTGGATAATCCATGGTTTTAGTCAGTTTTTACTAGTGAGATAGAGACAGACAGACAAATAGAAACAAACATAGGATAGTCTCACACAGTCCTGTGCCCCTTACAGATTGATCGGGGTCTGTCTATAGGCAATGTGACTGATAGGGACTCTCTAGGAGGTAGGCCTACCTCTACTGCAGTACTGACTTGCTAGGCAACTTGAACCCCTCTAGGGGATTTTCCTCCCCACCCCACAGCCTCTCTGTGACGCTCTTTGCATTTCCCTGAAGTACTGTATCTGTGGCCAGTTGCCTCTCCACCCATCTCCGGGACTTTGCAGGAGGAAGAGATGAATCTGAGCTGTCCAGGAGTCAGCAAGGAGGAAGAGCTTCTCTCATCGCTTCCCCAAACAGGTGGGCCACCCCTTCAAAGCCACAGGAACCGGCCCTTCCCCTAGCTCAGGACCCCTTACAGCTTCAGGACCGAAATGAAGGACTAGCACTTTGCTACCACCCATCTGTCTCTTCTCCTGGAATGAGGGTGCTGACCAGGTCCATCTAGCAGCATTGATCTCCGAGTTAGGATTTGGAAGCATCCCTGAGGAGGGTCCTGATCTTTAGTTGGGCGTGGTGAGGAGGTCAGGCCAGCAGAAGAGAGGGAAGCTTGTCATTTAGGGTAGAGTGAGCTAGTAGTGTGGGGGAAGAGGTGCTGGTATGGGGTGTCAGTGTGTGAACAACAGAGTCACCTGGATATCTGGGGACATCATTCCATATTGTCCCTTGGCTATCTGCACTGTCCTTTCTTCCAGGTGAGAGCTGGGGGTCACACAGTATAATGCTGCCCAAAGGCTGGAGGTTGGAAAAAGTTTTAACTTTTAGTTAGACCAAGGCTGGGTTTTCTTATTTTTGCTAGACATGTGGCCTCCAGTACATTATTTCTTCAAGCTTCAATTTCTTTCTATATACAATGGAAATGAAATAAAAATATTTACTGTATGAATAAAATAAAATAAAAGTATTACATGAGGTTGTAATACTAAAGCGTGCAAATATACAAAAGAAGCCAGCTCTGAGCCTTTGCATTAGTCAGCTGGCCTGCCATAACAAACACTACAGATGGGGAAAGGGTGCGTATTTATCTCACAGCCTGGATGCTAGAAGTACAGTACTTTGGTTCCTGGTGAGGGCTCTCTTCCTGGCTCCCCACAGCATGCTCCACCGTGTCTTCTGTTTTCTGGGGGCAGGGGAGGAAAGAACGAAGGAGCTGAAATCTTTTGGGAGGATGCTGAACCTACTGGACCAGCATGCCATGATCTCATTTCATCTTTTTAAATTTTTTTTTGAGTTAAGAATCTAATGTCTCCAAGCTATTCTCTAACTTAGTATGTAACCAAAGAGGGCTTGAGCATGGCCTTCTCCTGCCTCCACCTCCGGAGTGTAGGGATTACAGGCAAGCTCCACCACAGCCAGATTACACACTGGACATCAAGCCCAGGGCTATGTGCATGCTAAACAAGTGCTGTACTAACCAAGATGCAGAGCAAAGCCCCTGTTTTACTTTCTTCAAGGCTCTGTCTCCAAACACAGTTACACTGAGAGATTGAAGTTTCTACCTGGGAAGAGAGAGAGAGACTGTGTATGTGAAAAATTCCATCTGTAACAACATGGACAAAAAGCAGTTGATAAATATTAACTATTATCATCACAGTATTTGAATTTAGGAGACTCAACTTATGTCCTGGATGATCCTATGATCTTGGGCAAATTGCCGTCACCTCCGTTGAGGGTAGTAACTGCCTTCTGGTAAGGCTGTCGCGATGGAGTGTGACAGAATACCCCTATTTATTTCCTTTATGTGTGCGTGCACGTGTGTGTGCATATATGCCATCTAATGAATGTCAGGGTCAGAGGACAATTTATTGGTTCTCTTTCTATCAGGTGGGTCCTGGGAACTCAGCCCAGGTTGTCAAGCTCGATGACAAGTGCCTTTACCTGCTGAGTCATCACACTGGCCTCGGAGCACATTTTAAAACTCGTGATCGAAACATGGAACCAGAAACATGGGCAGAAAGGTGTTACGTGGTCTTTTGTACTGACCAGACACCCAGGGGAGCAGGGAAGCTGACCTGGGGTGATCCATGTGTTCAGCTTTTCTTGTCTCATTCCACCCTGGCTGCAGGAGGGTTTTCACGCTGTGATTTCAGTATCTTTCAGAGTCATGGGCGAGGATCTCCTGCTTGAAGTGCAAGTAAGGGCTCGGCCAGACTGGCTCCTGGTCTGTCATGAGGGTTGGAACCCTGCCCTGGGGATGCGCATTTGCCAGAGCCTTGGGCACCTCAGGTAACAGCCAGACTTGCAGGGTGTGTGTGTGTGGGAACTGGAGTGGGGAGTGTGGATCGCAGAAGTCACCATCATGGTCTTGCTTATCCACAATGCTGGCATGGCTCATGCATGGTCTAGTTCTGAACTTCTGACCTCATTCATGCTACACTTTGAAGCCGACTCCCTCCTGTTTTCTCTCCTCTGCCAAGGCTCGCTCAGCACAAGGCAGTGAATCTGTCTGACATCAAGCTCACCAGATCCCAGGAGTTCGCTCAGCTGTCTGCTAGACCGGGAGGTCTCCTCCAGGAGGCATGGCAGCCCAGGTAAGGGGCTGTGGGTTAGGTGAGCAGGAAGCAGTCTAGACAGGTCTTCCTGCAGGGGAGCCCGATGGTGGGGGCATGGTCAGTGTAAGGAGACCAGAGAAGACCGTTTGCCAGGCTTAATCACAAACCCAGGACACATGCTCTGCCACACAGTATTTCTCTCACACAAGAAATGTGAGCCTATGGGCTGGGCATTGTAGCTCTTGTCTCATCCTACCCTGGCGTCGAGCGTGCTTGTTAGAGAGTTCTTATCTCGCACACACGAAGCCCTGGGTTCAACCCCTGGTACTGTACAAACTGTGTGGTGTTGTTGCTTGAGTTCTAAGCAAGAGCAGAGGCAGGAGGATCAGAAAAGTCAGCCGCAACTAGCTACAGAGTTTGAGGTGAGCCTGGGGTACAAGAGATTTGTCTCAAAACCGAACCAACCAACCAACAAAAAACCCCAAGGTTGTTAGTTACTGGACCAGGGTTTAGTCCTCCTATTCCCCCTGTGTTAACTTTACATTGCTGTGACCAAACACACAAGAAAGGCAATGTAAAGGAAGAAAGACTTCCTTGCCTCACAGCTGTAAATGGTTCAGCCAATGGCTGCTTGACCTCGTGCTAGGACAGAGCATCACGGAGAAGGAATGGGTACAGGAGGCTGTTTGCCTCGCATAGACAGAAAAGGGAGGGGAGGCAGCCAGGTTTAGGATAAGATACAACTCTTAAGGACATACATCCAGTGACCTACTTCCTCTAGCTAGGCTCTACTGCTTGAAATCTCCAGAATTTCTAAAAGTAGTACCACGAGGTGAGGACCAGATGCTCTGCCCATGAAGTTTTTTTTTGGGGGGGGGGTGTGTTATTTTGTGTTCAAACCATAACTCACTTTTTTTTTCATAATTCACTTTTACAAGTAGGGGAGTTGAGGCCCAGTGAGGTTAAAGAGTGTTATCCAGGGCAGTTTGACCAGTAAACAGCCAATACTCATTTGGGGCCAGGCTCATGACTCCATCCAAGTCAAGGGACCTGTGTGGCTGTGCTTGGATAATTCTGGTATCTGAGGAGAAAATCAAATAGTGTCCAAAAGAAAGGAACTCAAAATGGACCAAGCCTCTTACCACACTCTAGGGAACACAAGCTGAGAGGTTTTTGCCCAGCCTGGCGTCTTCAAACTGCCTGAAGCCTCGGGAATGGGGGCAGGCAGAGGCACCATCCCTGCTCTGAAGCTGTGTTGGCCCCACCCACCTGAACATTCTCCCAGACCCCAGAGCCATTCTTAGGAATGCACTGGAGACCGAGTGACCTCAGCTGTCCCTTTCCCTCTGTGAGATCCCTCCAGGAGGGCAGATGGGCTTCAGGGTTAGGAAAATAGAAACCAAGTAGACCATGGATTGGGCAGCTGAAAGGAGGAGAGACGGGCAAGACGAGAGAGTCTTGGGTCCAAAGGGAGGGAAAGCCAGAACAAGAGCGTGACTCTGCAGGCCCTAGGTAAAGAGCTGGGACTGAGAAGAGGCTGGGCCTGGAAGAAGCCTAGGGGTAGGACTGGACTCACTCATTCATGCCACGGTCCTTCATTCACCCGCTGAGCACCTGTTTACTCAGAGACTGGGAAACAGCTCGGCTTTCTCATCCGCCAGTTCTTTGTTGTAAACATGGACCCTTTCCAAACAGATCTTCCAGGATTGTGAAGGCTTTCTGTTTCTTTCTGGTCACTGGGCAGAATGGGCAGGCTGCTGCCGTGGGAGGGGCCTGGGAGTTTGTGAGGGATGGGAAGAAAATGGTGACAATGGGAACGTTTTAGGGTTGGGACTGCAGCAGGGCCTGAAGACCTATGGAGACGGGCGGGCGTGGCAGGGCGTACCTGTAAGCCTAGTACTTGGGACGCTGTGGCAAGAAGATCAGTCCACAGTCATCCTTGGCTGCAGAGTGAGTTTGGGTCTAGCCTGGGTCACATGATACACTATCTCAAGAAAACAAAAGGAAGCTATGGAGAATCCCCCTGAACACTCCCCATACCCTTGGTGTGCATGGCCTTTGGGTGGCACTGCCTAGCTTCTTAGGGACACCCTTGTTTTGCAGTGCTGGCTGTCCTTTTGGCCGAATTGTTTCTCTCAAATGTTCTGGTGAGTCATATCCTGGGTCCAGGAAGTTGGCAGTGGGAGGAGGGGAGTCTTCCAGTTCTCCCGAGTGTGGAAGAGCTGTCTGGAGGTGCTTGCTCAGGTTTCTGTGTGTGTACCTGTGAGCTGGGTCGGAGTGTCCTTGCCGACCGGCCTATCTTTCTGCTGGACTCCTTGATACAACCTGCCCAGATAGAGTCCTTTTAAGTCTCTGTCATGTATGCTACCAGCCACTGGGCTGGGCTAATGGTCACTACTGCCACCCTGCCCCTTCCTTCTGAAGGGCCCGATAGGTGGAATTACTACTGACTGTGGATATGCAAGCTCTACCAGCAGCTTCAAGAGAACTAAGGGTGGGCAGTGGACAAGAGCCAAATGATAAACAGCTTACAGGGTTCCTTCACCCATGTGCCTACGTATCTGTCCGTCTATTTATCAGGCCCTTCTCACACCTGGACACCAGTGAGGTGGGCATCAGAGCTCTGTAGACACCGCAGACCTGGTCCCTGCTCTCAGCAGGTGCCAAGGCTGAAGTAATCAATACACCCATTCCTGTCCCCCTACTTAGAATCAGAACTAACAAATGAGAGTTGTCTACACAGGCTCTCGGCAATCAGCCTTTTCTCTGTCTATCCTACCCTTTTCCGTTGGCAGAGTGTGGGGCAAGACCTCTGGCTTCTCGAATAGTTGGCGGTCAAGCTGTGGCTTCTGGGCGCTGGCCATGGCAAGCTAGTGTGATGCTTGGCTCCCGGCACATGTGCGGGGCCTCTGTGCTGGCACCCCACTGGGTAGTGACTGCTGCCCACTGCATGTACAGGTAAGTCTTGGGAGTGAATGAGAGGTGAGTCAGTCACCTATTAGTTTGCCTCTTGCTGTGTCCTGGATACCATATCTGTGTCCACGGTCCCCAAGGAGGCAAGGGTGAGGGCCAAGTTCAGTTCTGTATGAAGAGCAGTAATAATACAAAGACTGGTTCTTTGTATTCCCTCTCCTCCGTGTGTGTATGCATGTTCCCTTCTATGTGTACATGTGTACGTATGTGTGTGTGTATGTATATGTGAGTGCATGCATGCACGCTCATTTGTGGGCATGGAGGCCCAAGGTTGACATTGGGTGGTGTCAGGTATCTTATTTGACTGTTCTCCTCTCCTGTCTGTCTTGAGGCAGCATCTCTCATTTCTCACTGAACCCAGAGCTAGCACATTTGGCTAGTCTGGCTAGCCACCCTGCTCTGGGGATTTGTCTCCAGCTTCTGTGCTGAGATTTCCAGTGGGCTCCCATGCTCGCTCAGCTTTTAAATGGGTTCTGGGGCTTTGAACTCAGTTCTCATGCTTCCAAAGTGAACACCTTTCTAACTGAACCATTTCCCCAGTTCCCTTCCATTCCATTTTGCATTAACAACATTCTGTGCTTCTTAATGTTTCTTAGCACGACCATTAAATTATTTTCTGAGTGGTGTCCTTTTCCCTTTAGACTGGAAGCCATACTGGGGCAGAGATGATCGGTCTGTTTAACCACTGAGTCCCTTTCTAGGTTTCTTCGTTGCCACATCTTCAGGGCCTCGAGCAGTTCCTTGAATATGATAGGCACACAATAAAGGTTCTGCGGAGGTGGAGGTGAATGGATGGTGAATGAGTGAGGTTTGGTGGTAGGTATGGCAGACAATCTGATCTCCACTTTACTGTGAGGGAACAGTCTCGTGGAGGGATGAGTGTCCCTCAGGATTTCACCTAAGTGGAGAGAGAGGACTGAGGGAAGTCATGGTGTCAAAAAAGGTCTTTCACACTTGCTATAAAAGTTGGATGGAAATTACGCAGGAGAGAGTGGTGGCCAATAATCTCTCTCTCTCTCTCTCTCTCTCTCTCTCTCTCTCTCTCTCTCTCTCTCTGTATGTGTGTGTGTGTATGTGTGTGTGTGGGCATGTATGAACTTGTGCATGTACATAAGGAGGCTACAGATCAATGTCAAGTGACTCCCTCTTTCCACTTTATGTATTTTAAGGTTTATCTTTAATTATGTGTCTGTGTCAGTGTGTGGGTATGTGGATAAGCCAGCAAGCTCCAGGGATCTGCCTGTCTCTGCTTCTCTAGTGTTAGATTATAGGCATATGGAGCTATGCTTGGCTTATGTGAGGGTTGGGGATTTGAACTCAGAACCTCATGCTTTTCTGGGGAAAGCACTTTGCTGACTGAACTATCTTCCAGCCCAGTGTCTTGCCAGCTGGCGAGGATAATATTAAGAGGCATGGTGTTTGTGTCCCGGGAACTCACAGGCTTGTGACAGTGGCCACTAATGGTTTCCCTCAAGAGTCCCCTCCACCCACCACCTTCCCTGCCTCTTCCTCCCTGGGCTCAGGAGGTTTCTGTGTGCAGTTTCAGGCTGTCCCGCCTGTCCAGCTGGCGGGTGCATGCAGGCTTGGTCAGCCACAGTGCCGTCCGCCAACAGCAGGGAGCAATGGTGGAGAAGATCCTTCCTCACCCTCTGTACAGCGCCCAGAACCATGACTATGATGTGGCTCTCCTGCAGCTCCGGACTCCGCTCAACTTCTCAGGTGAGACTCTGGCTTTGGAACGAGCAGGCTGGGTGCAGTAGTGACCAAGGAACAGAGCCCGGTGAGAGGAGGGGCGAGCTGATTCCTAAGGCTTCCTGTAGTGTTGCAAATCTTAAGTCCTTCAGTCCACTGGGGATCATAGGGTGTGTACTTTTAGAGACTGAATAGCAATAACAGTTATAAGGCTCTCTGAGGTCAAATATTCAGGCCCTTTTCATAGTAGAGCTGCATAGAGGGGATTTGCTTTGAGGTCCCAAGCAGAACCTCGCTTGTGCCTTCTCCTCCAATAGCTTGTGCCTTCTCTTGTTCCCAGGCAGGACCCAGGTTCAGACATTTTGTGATACATTAGAGAAAAGAGATTTCTTATTTATTTAAATTGTTTCCCCCCTCAGCCCTCGTAACAACTGTGATGAAGGAAACATAAACAGACAAGACCATAGAAGTTCAGAGAAGGACAAATAAGTCCCAAGCTGATGTCTTGATTCCAGTACCAGGGCTCCTCTTGTTGCAGTACCTGTCCATCAAGGGTGGCCCTGCCTGGACTGCTGCTGTCCCACCAACTATCTCCCTGTATGCTCAGACACCCCTTCTCAAAAGCCACATAAATCCATAGAAACATGCACACATGCATGCACTCACAGTCCCATGTGCGCACATGCATGTATTCACACACACAGATCTGTAATTTGAAAGCAAACCAGTAATAAAATTCTAGGTTGCCAGAGCCTTCTGTAGAAGTTGCAGAGCCCGGACCTGCTTCTTCTGGTTAGGTGGGAGACTGACAGCATTATTCGAGGTGTGGATTACCACCAAACGGGGTCTTTCTTCTTGATGCAGACAGAGGGACGTATGTTTATGTTGTGGAATGTCAGTATGCTACATAATAACATATTAGGTTTCATTCATATTATATGTCACACACTTCCTGAAATAGAGTCCTGAGAAGGATGAGGCACTCTGGAGAAAGGGACAAATGGGTATTGTTAGAGTTTGGTTTCCAGCGCCAGAAGGATTCCCATTCTCCCTCTAGGCCCCTAGGTTGGGGCAGAGTAGCAAATATGCTGCCCTCTTCTCTGGGGCACCATACCTTCACCCCCAAGGTGGGACACTGCTCAATCTATTTATTTGTCTAGTAAGTTTGGTGGTAGAGGGCAGGTCCCAGGCCTCTTGAGAAAGGGATAAGGAGGATCTTCACCCAGGCTCTTCAGGAGAGAAGCCCAGCCTGAGCCAGGACCTAAACTTTGTGCCTCTCCACAGACACTGTGGGCGCCGTGTGCTTGCCGGCCAAGGAACAGCAGTTTCCAAGAGGGTCGCAGTGCTGGGTGTCTGGCTGGGGCCACACCGACCCCAGCCATAGTGAGTGAGCTCCCGGGGCCCTCAGTATAAGATGGGGAGGGAGGTATTCTCTAAGTTGGGCACTTCCCCTTCCCCAAGTCATCTGACAATGGCGCTCTTTTCCTCCCTTGGTAAGTCAGGGGTATTCAGTCTCTCCTGCCTGAGTGTTCCTATGTAGAACAACCACTGAACATTTTTCCTAAGCCCAGCCCCTTTTACTTCCCTGCTCTTGGTCCTGGGAGCTCCATGAGCTCAGCATCTGGTATACGGTGTCTGGTGTCTTTCTCTTTCTCTCTTCATTCCCACCTGGGTATCTGGCAGACTCTTGTCCTCTGGCCCAGATCCATAGCGTTGCCCAAACTTCCTTCTTTGGGTCTTTGTGTCCTCGGGAACTCTAACTCTTTTCTCTCTTGATGCTCTGCCTTCTTGGCGTAGTTTGGTACCCTGTAGCTTTGCTCTGTGTCTCCTACAGCTCATAGCTCAGACACGCTACAGGACACGGTGGTACCTCTGCTCAGCACCCACCTCTGCAACAGCTCATGCGTGTACAGCGGGGCACTCACACACCGCATGCTGTGTGCTGGCTACCTGGACGGAAGGGCAGACGCATGCCAGGTGTGGCCGGGAGTAGAGGGAGGAGTGGGAGACCTGCTGGTGGTGAAAGGTGGGAGCAGGGGATGTGCATCAGCTTGGTCCCCTGGTTAGTTAGTGCACATGAGTTGGGGAAGCCAGACTCCTTAGGGAGTCCACACTAAGGGCTTGTGGGAAGTGAGACCCGCAGATATGACATCAGGAGGCAGGAGCCTCTCTCTTTCTACCAGGAGAGTCCATTCCCCATGGTGGACTGGTGCTGCTCCACCAGAAGGGTCTTAGTGTTGTTTCTTTGTGTCTGCTCATTTGGATTCCTCAGGGGGACAGCGGGGGACCCCTTGTGTGTCCCAGTGGTGATGTGTGGCACCTTGTAGGGGTGGTCAGCTGGGGTCGTGGCTGTGCAGAGCCCAATCACCCAGGTGTCTATGCCAAGGTAGCGGAGTTCCTGGACTGGATCCATGACACCGTGCAGGTGAGTATGGAACAGGAGAATGGCCCAAATTTCCGAAGGACTTGCCCCAGGACGCTGGGGACCTTCTGAGGGTTGGACATGGGTCTAGGGAATGTTGGCCAGAGTGGGAGGAGAAAGAAAGGACACATAACAAAAACCCACTGGATTTCTAGCAGGTTAAGCACTAACCAGGAAGGGTAGATTGAGTCTGTGACCTAGATCTGTCTCTTGGGGGTGACCTATGGCAAGTTCCTACCCTTGGTAAGCCCAGACTTTCTGGTCATAACCATCCTGGCTGTGTTTTACTCATTTTTTTCCCTCAGCCTTGTTTCACAGACTCCTATATCTCTTGGCTCCTTGGCAGGTCCGCTAGCTACAGGAGAAGCAGCTGCCACCTCCAATGCCGAACCGTGGCTCTCCCGTGGATCATCCCAGACTGCAGGCCAGCAGCTGCAGCACTGGCCTCTCTCCTAAGGCTCTGGTTTCTTCTTTCTCTTTCTCATCTGAGTTGAGCACCTCTGCAGCAGGAAAGAGGCTGGGGCTGGAGTGAGAATGATGGGGAGAGGAACGGATAAGAGGAGACACAGCAGATGAGGTTTCTGGAAGCATCTGGGAAACTGGTCCTCCACTCTCCCTGGACTCCACTGAATCTATCTATCGGGAGGACACTGGCGGTGCCCTGCTTTCTCCCAGGGGCCTCAGGAGGGCTAAGTCCAACTCTAGAGGATGCCCTATCTCAAGGGCTCCTGGGCAGATGAGGTTAAGGTTGGACCAACTCAAGTAAAGACATGGAAGTCAGGATCCCCACCCTACCCCACTGGTCCTGTTCTGAGGTAACTCTAGTAGCCCTGCATGAGGCAAGAGTCTATAAGGCAAGAAAGATGGAGTTGGACTAGGATGCCATTTTCCAGATGACAGTTCTGTGAACTGGTTGAAAGAGTTTTGTTATTAAATGAAAATTATATATAATCTTGGTCAAGACCCCCCCGCCCATATTAACTACTTTTGTCACTGCTGTGACGAAATACATGACCAAAGGAATTTATTTACTTATTTATTTATTTTGGTTTTTCAAGACAGGGGTTCTCTGTAGCTTTGGAGCCTGTTCTGGAACTAGCTCTTGTAGACCAGGCTGGCCTGGAACTCACAGAGATCCACCTGCCTCTGCTTCCTGAATGTTAGGATTAAAGGCATGTGCTACCATTGCCCAGCCCAAAGGCATTTATTTTGGCTCAGAGACAAAAGATGCAGTCCACTGTGCAGAGGAGGGTGGGGCAACTGGTCCTACAGTGGCCGGAAGCAGGGAGAGATGATGTCGGTGCTTTCGTCTTGGACCTCAGCTTGTGGCTTAGTACCTCTCACAGTCAGGGAAGGTCTCAGTCACGCCTCTCTGGAAACTCCCTACCTCACAGAAGTGCGTAGAGGTGTGTTTCCCAGGCAATTCCAAATCCAGAATACTTGACAGTGAAGATTAACTGACACACGGTCATGCGTGTTTCTGCGCAGAAGCACAGTTTTTCCTGTATGTGTTTCTTGGAACGTAGATACTGACTCCAGCTCGTCAACTCCAGAATTTGGCAGGTCCCTAACTATTAGATTATTTAAGTTAGTTAAACCTATATGTCACCATCTGCAGCAAAAAAGACCAACTGTCTATGGGCTCTGAGACTTTGAGCACCACTGAGGTCAGTGCACCTAGGGAAGATTGTTCTTCCCACAGGGTTCAGGCTTTCCCCTTGGCTCTTTTTTTGGGGAACTGAACCTTTCATCTTGGGGGATTTCTTCCTGAGTTTATCCCCAGTTAGCATTTATCGGCGAATCAATCCCGCACCAGTTATGTTTTAAGGGGTTATTTATTTTGGGGGGTAAAACTTACATACACCATAAACCGTCAGGAAGGGAGCCTAGTCGCTGGAGCAGGAGCCGGGAGCAGGAGCCGGGAGCAGGAGCCGGGACCAAGTGCCGGAACCAAGAGGGCCTGACCCGGGATCTGTGTCTCTTTTTAAAAGAGAAATATACCACGCCCCAGTGGGCTGGTATTTCAGCGGCTATTGGCTGACGGAGTGGAAGGCGCTCCGCAGCAAGCATTTCCCCTGTGAAGCCTCCCTCCTATACTCTCTGGTCTCTAGCAATTAAAATGCAATGGCTATCTTGTTTCCAAAAAATCTCAATGAATTTTTTATGGTGCTTACCCGAGGAAATACAATTAGCATTAAGCAATAACAAGAACTTTGTGAGTTTATCAGCATATTTGTTGAGGGTTTATCCAAGTGATTATTCTTCCCGGAGGGTCTGCCTTCGCTTTTTACATGCAGTACACCGAGACATAAAGGCCTCAATTTACTCTTGGCTTCATTACCTGTAGACAAAAGTTGCGGAGAGTCAGCTGTTGCATTGGCAGCACTCAGAGAGTTCTGGTGGGTGGCAAAGCGCCTCCAGCCTCCAACCTGAGCCCAGTATTTTCTACTTGGCTCCTCCCCGAAGGAGGCAGCGAGGGGGGCAGCAGGTCCTCCTGGGAAGGAAGAGTGAAAAGCAAATCCACAAGCTATGATTACTTTCATATTTCCTATGACGGCCATAAACATTTGGTTAAAGGGAAATGCTTATCATTATTATTATAATAACAATGGCCTTCCAGTTACCAGTGTCATGTGAGCAGTACTTGGCGGTTTAGAAAGTCTACCGATGTGTGGGATCTCACAGCGTCCACGTGGTAGAGATATTATTTTATCTACCCGATTCTGCAGACAAGCAGGCTCGCTCAGAAAGATGGTGTGGCTCCTGTAAGACCACCTAGTTCCTGAGCACTAGAGAAGTAGGGTGTGAACTTGGGGTCCCTTGACCACCAACCCACGTTCTTATCTTGCACATGGATGAATGAAATGATTTAATATTGTACCGAAACATTAAACTGGAAGATACTTCATCAGATCACCTGGCCTAGTCATCTGCCTACCTACAATGGCCTGTAGCATCCTGGAGGCCAGCAAGATGGATCAAAGGGGAAGGGCCCTTAAGACTAAGCTTTATGGCCTGAGCTTGATCCATGGAAGCCACGTAGTGGGAGGAGAGAACTGATTCCCCCAAATTATCCATTTGCTAACCTCCACATGTACCCTATGGGGCACCTGTAAATAAACGTAATTTTAAAAGATTTATGATGACGACGATGACGACGGTGATGATGATGATGACTGATGTGTGTGTGTGCATGTGTGTGTGTGCGTGTGCGTGCATGTATGCGTGCCTGCCTGCCTACAGATACTAGAAGAGGACATTGGATCCCTTGGAGCTGGAGTTACTGGTATTTCTGAGCTGCCTGATGTTGGTAAAAGCCTGTCATGCAAGCCTGAGGACCCTGGTTCAATCCCTACCACCCACGCAGAAAGCTTGAGTGACGGCAGCTCACACTGTCCTGGGAGTAGAGACTGGCTCCCTGGGGCTTGTTGATAAGCCAGTCTGGCTTAATAAGCGGACTCCAGGTGCAGGAAGAGACCTTGTTTAAAAAACAAGCTGAAGCAAGATTGAGGAGACCATCTGATGTCAGCCTCTGGTCTCCATCTGCACATGTGAACAATTACACATGCCGGTGTGTGTACACACAGGCACATGAAAACCTCCTACCAGAGACCATTGGAGCTCCTGAGTTCAAGGTCTGCCTTAAACCTTAAAAAACGGCCATCTCGCCCAGGTAAACCGAGGAGCACACTGTGGACCGAATTTGTGTGAGACCCAGCTTATGAACAGAAACTCTGGTGGCCTTTCCCAGACTGTAGGCCCCATCTACAGTCATCTGGAGGGAAGCTTCCACCCTCCTTTGTTAGCATCTGCTACGCCAGTTCTTAGGAAAGAAAGAGAAGGGAGCAGCCTGGGGCAACTCTGGTCCCTTGGGCCCCCTGTGCTAGCGTGCAGGTGGTGGTGGCTGCAAGGAAGGGAGATTCAAGTCCAGAGAGGGAGGAATGAGGACCATCTGGGAGGCCAGCTGTGCTGAGCTCTGGAGGGAATTCGGAGGAAGAGAAGCCACCTCTCTTTTTGGAGCACTGTGACATACTTGCAGTAAATTATTACTGACCAACCAGGAACAAGGCTGAATGGGGAGAATGTAATTGCTGAGCGAACACCAAGGGCTTATTGTTGAATAAATCAGGAACCTGTGCCCTCCTCCCCAGGGATTAGCTTCCTGCCTAGGCAGAACTTTGGAGCCTCCTGAGACTTCTCAAGAAAGCTGGTCCTGGCCACCTAGATAGGAAGGAGTTCCTCCAAATACTTCTTCATGTTTTGTGGGCTTTCTAGGATCTCTCTCTTTTGACTCTTGCTTTTCCAGGCTGGTTGCTGGGAACAGTGGAGGAGTTCTGTTCTTCTCCAGGGACACTTGTGGGCCCTTCCCTGCCTCTTCTTTTTGGAAGTGCTGGGCTTGTCTGCAATGGATAAAACTCTGGGGTATAGCTGCCAGGAAGCAGGACCCCCTCGCCACACACACCATCCTTCGCTGGTTTCGCTCCCCTCTGCCCTCTGTTGCCGTGTGCTTACGCCCTCCTTATTATTTCATGGCTGCCCATCTACTTTCTCCAGTGTCTCAGCAGCCTAGGGCTACTGCTCTGTCGGATGCAGCAAACAGGGCTGACTGTGGTCCACTCTCAGGTCTCTGCTCCCTTCTACATGGACCAGGGTTCAGTGTGGTTAGTGGCTACCAGATCTTAAATCCATCTATCATCTGGCATCTCCTGGGGAAGCGGAGAGGGAAAAGCTTTCCTTCCCTGGGCGCTCAGGATGGGTTTTCCCACACACCCCAAGTCTGGTAAAGGGAGAGGAGGAGCAAGCAAGCATTGGCTTGGGATTCACCCCAGTTGGAGAACTCTGGGAAGACCTGTAGGTTTTTGGTGCTGGAGTTGGATAAACAAGAGGACTAAAAGAATGGGAGGAGGGGTAAGGAGAGAGTAGGTGAGACAGAGAGGGAAAGAGAGAGATAAGGCCCTCCCAAACAGGGTAGGGCCCCAGCATGGCAGAAGGGTCACCCTGTGCTTGCCTTTTGAACTCTCTCCCTTTTAGGGAGCACCTGCCCATGCTACTAGGAAACAGTAGTTCTACGGGAGTTAGATCTGGGTTTCTAACCACATGGGAATGCGCTGACTGGAACTAATGATTTGGTCTCCCTAGATTTTGGTCTCTCCCTGTCAACTTAGTGATCTGAGCAAGGTAGTCTTCATGGACTTGCCCTTGTCACAGTAACTCCAACCTCCCTTACCTTTTGGGCTAATTGCTATACACCTGCCCTTGGATCACCTTTGAACAGAGTCTGTTCCTCAGTCAGATCCAAGGAAATTAGCTTACTTTTGGCTTGACAGCATCTCAAGACTTCAGACCTTAGATATGTGGGACCAGAAGGCACAAGACAAATGACAGTAAATCTCCCCCATCCCACAATCCTTTCCCAGCCTCTATCACGTACCCCAATGCAAAGCATGCAAGGATAGGTGAGAACTTTGACCTGATTCTTAATGCAGGCACTCCTCAGATCACTCCAGGATACTCCAAGGGTTCTAGGACCCTTCAAAGACAGATGAATGAGCTTTGTGTATAAAGACCACAGATACTTTCCTTCTCCCCATTTGTGTTAGTCCGGCCATGAGGAGAGGGAGGAAGGGATTGTGTCCCCTGTAGGAGCCAGACGAACCTCTTCTCCTGTCTTCTAAAGATAATCAGAGGGGAGGAAGGAGAGGCTGCTAGACTGCTGGAGCCCACAGGGATTTTTGTGGGGTTTGTTTTTCTCAGCACTGTCTGCAGAGGTGAGGACATGAATAAAAGAACAAGCAAAGATTTACTGTTCTTATGTCTTGGCAGTGAGTCTTGTATTTGTACAACACAGCCAGAGAGGAGGGGTGGGCACAGTTAAGAGGGGGTGCTGGCCTTCAGAGAGAGAGTAGGGCCCTGCACAGTGTGTCTGTGGAGACTTGGAGGTGGTGCAGGTGTTAGAGGAGGTGTGGTTAGGCCAGCTTTCCTGCTGTACTACCCAGTCTGCCTACAAAGGAGGTGGGGCAGTGAGAGGGGCATCAGCAAGCCACTGGGGTCTGGTTCT